CAACCAGCCACTAAATTGTTTACACGCAATTTCATCAAAACAATAAATCATGCAGTTGAAACGGCACAACAAAGGCGGCGACATTGCCGTCGCCGGCGTCGCAGTCGCTGTCGCTGTCGACGGCGTCGCCGACGTCGCCGACGTCGCGACGTGACGTCAAGTTGACATTTGGTGAAAATCAAATCAAAAGCATTTTTCCGCACAGCGGAAGTTGGCGCTAGCTCAGCTCCAAGTCAAACTTGGCAAAACACACATTTATAACAAGAGGGTGGCACACACACAAACACACACACACACACACACACACACATACACACAACGTGTCGCTGGCAATAAACTTGACGGCCATAGTCATCAATCCTGCTAGCACAAGAGGCAAAAGTTTCATTTTTTTCGTAAGCTGTTTGCTTGTGCTTCTTCTTGTTATTGTTGTTGTTGCGTTTCTTTTCACTCACATTTGCACATTTTTATTTAATTTATAAGTATAACATTTAATATTAATTATACGCCATGTAAGCCCACTGCGCAGCGCACTTTGCTCTGAAAAACCAAGCGCTTAAATAAGTATTTGTGCATTGGTCAGAGCTGGCAGTGCCCGCTTTTCATTTCATTCATAAACTATGCATGTTTATTTGCACTGCAGCTGGCCACAATGACCGGCACATAAAGGACAGCAGCCGTGCAGGGTTTGGGTAAGGGGACGGAAGTTGGGAGAGCAACAGTTCTGGGAACGTACTGCGAATTTCTTTTTTAACCCTTTTCACTTGCCCTTTGGCGCTACGCAAGAATTAAAAAACATTAAAAAACAGGAAGTATATTTATTCAAGTTGCGAATTGCCGACTAAAATATGCCCTGTAGATTAGGTATTAAATGGATTATACAAATATACGTATATAGATGGCAAATGGGTATTAAATATCGACAGAGAAAGTCTTAATTTTTTTATAATTCTGATTTTGTGGTTCCGGTTCTTTTTTTTCAGTGTATCCATTATACACCTAGCTAAAATTGATGACTATAGGAATGAAGATGGTATTTCCTTACAGAAATTCTAGACATAAAATATAGAAATCTTTTGAATTATTAAACAACGATCGTCTGGTGATTTGCTTCTAGACTGGGTAGACGACGGCACTAAGTACAACGAGGTTTGTTGTTCGAGTCCCCGAGAAAAGGAAATATTGTTTGTAGAAATCTATATTCGTCGGGTCGCACAAGGCATATCTTAAGACAGACTACAATAGACCTACAAACAGCGCAAACACATATTCCTTATGCCAGATTTATAATAACACAAGTTCATGCTACCCTCTTTAATTATTTTTATAGATCATTTTTACAGCGCATAAAAACTGAAAAATAACAAAGCATATTTTCTAAAAACGAGTCGAATTAACCATACTCTTTACTATATTAATCAAATATATTCAAATATTTTCATAGATCCTACTTGTGGTTTACTCTGCTTTTACAGACTTTGGGCATATATAGATGTACCAAAAGAGTTCTGGTCAAAACGGAAGCCTTTTCTCAAGCACCCTAATTGTTAGAGTATTTAGACAAATGAAAGAATAAGCGTAAAACGACGCGCCCAAGTAAAATACCATAATGTTTAAATTGTGGCTGGTTTGCTGGCTCCCACATACTAACGTAGACCAGCACACACACACACCCACGCACATATACACGCATAAAAAAATCAGCACCGAGTTTTTATTTGCATTAAGAAATTATAATTATGGCAGCTGGTTTGCTAGCTCTGGCTCGCTGACTGCCTGCTCCCGGCTGGTTGCTTGGTTTTATCAGCTTTTGGGGTTATTTTCGCCCTTTACGCCATAGTTGTGCCCCCTCCTCTGGCCCCTTTTTGGGCCACCCCTGACATGCCGCTCCGACTGTCGACTGTCGACTGCCGACTGGTGCCTGGCGCCGGCTGCAGGCTCTCGGCTGCGTGGGGCGCACACTTTTTAATTGAAAAGTGCAAAATAATGTTAAAGAAAAGTAAAAAGTGGTCGCGAGCAGAAAGTATGCGTCCAAGTATCCCACCATTCCAACTGGAATCCATTCTTATGCCCATTTCCCGTTTCCATTCCCGTTCCCAAGAGGCATGCCACTGTTTGTGCTATGTGTGCGAGAACTGTGTGTGTTCGGCCAGATGAATGCAGTTTTTTGTTTAACTGCGCGCAAAGGGGTCAGCAAAGGGCTTACAAAAGAGGGTTGGGTTGTGGAGAGGGTTGGGTGTTGGGGATGGCAGGGATAGCAGAGAGAAAGCTCGTGTTCTAGCCGCTGTAGGGTCTTTGGCCCTTCATTCCCTCAACTGCGCAGCGTTAAAAAGCATAAATTCTGACTTTTACCAGCAATGAAACTGAGACTTGGGGAGTTACAGCCAGCGGCTATCTAAGATTTGTTTAGCTCCATTTTTGCCCACAAGCTCGCAAAAGTAACTCAAAATACAACTTTTAACTAGGAAAATGTTTACACAAATTGTTATTGCATGTCCAGAAATAAGACGATGTAAATTGCAGAAATACTATAGTGCCAAATGTTTTATGAAGTGTTGACAAAAAAGGACACAAAAATTACAATAATTTACTATAATTCATTTTTTTTCTAAGATGAAAACATGTCGAGGCATTAAGAACCGTGTGGAAAATTCGAAAATTTGGTTACATTTTGGAATTTAAATATCAATAATGAAGTAAACATATTAAATTCAAATCTAAATGCAAATATAATCTATAGAGAAAATCATGAGCCACATCGTTTGATTTTGGACAACGTTTTAGTGTTGGAAAATTTTGAAAAAAACTGCTATAGAAATTAAATTGGTGATTCCATTACCAATATTCGTATGCTAATGCTCGCATTATAATGTGCTCAACACGATATGCTATCATGGCGAAACGTTAAGTGGATGAATTCATATATCCATTTTATCCATTTATCGATAATTACGTCACTTACGAACACTTGCAGACACGGTTAGCTGCGAATGTCCATTGAGTGCACTTTACTTAAAATGCATAACATTTGCGCTACTTATGCAAAAATAAGGCTGCGCTGCATTCCTGGCATGCTGGCATCACCTGGCCAAGACTCTGCTTGGCTCTGGTTGTCTGAGTTAGCTGCAGTTGTTGTTGGCGAAATGAAGCATATAATTCGCATGGAGCTGAGCGGATCCCAGGTAATTTTTAAATTGATGGCGCGAAAATTACGACAAACGCTGCGGGGCCAATGTCAAGAAGCCAAGCTAAGAGCTGAACGGAACCGTTAGAAAGGCGCAACTTGCATCAAGTCAACTGTGAAATAAGCCCGCAGTCAATGGTTGATGATGGCTAAAATGCTGTTGCACAACGCATTTCATTTGTATACCCATTGTAAATGGCTAAAAAGTTGTAGAACTTGTCTTGCACTTCGATTTCCTATACTATACATATGCTTGGCCAGAATCGACATTCGCAGCATCTCCCAAATCGAACGTTTCTTTGAAATCAACGATAGCTTGCCCCATTTCCGTAAAATCGATACAAACCGATATCGATATTCTGTTAATGGAACATATCTCGGAGATTATAAGAAGTACAGTCTTTTTATTTATATATAGAAGTATAAATAGCTAGAGCTAGAATGTTTGTAAAGGTAGCTTTAAATTGAGCTCAGGATATCTTCAAGTCGAGTACACCCGACTAGAGCGCTTCAACTTGTTTTATTTTTTGCTGCTACTGACCCGACCTAGCTAATTGTGCGCACAATTGATGATCGCTGCCTGGGCTGTGGGCGTGGCAGTAGACTACAATTTTGTGCCCAGCAGCCAAATGACTGAGCGCTGATTGAGCATGGCAAGCAGAACTTGTGCGTGTGTGTGGCGCCTGTTAGTTGGCTTTAGTTAGCAAATTGGCCTACAAACTTGTTACCATTTATCACACTCAGTGTCAGCATATCAAGCGTGCAAAAATTTTGTTGGCAAAATATCAAAAAGTTTTTGAGCAGCTCTTGACAAAAATGCGTGTCGAGAACACAAAATGACACTTAAAGGTACGAGCCATAGCCGAGGGAAGGTGTGTGTGTGTATGTGTGGCTGCGAGTGTGAGGAGGGGTGGGGGTGGCTTGGGTTGAAGCAAACATATGCTGCCACACACACTCACACACACTCTCAATCAGGTATCATTTAGGCTGGCAACCATCAATCTTGAGCTACTTTATCTTGAATGACATGCAGACATACTCGATACTAGATGCTCACACTTATAGATATCAGAGAGGGTAGTCTGTTAGGCAAATCTATTTGGATTTGCCATTGCCTTTTGTTTGCCCAACAATAACAATTGATGTCACCAACAGCAGCAGCAGAAGCAGCGGCAGCAGCAGCCCAAAACCAACTAAAGTAAAAGCACAAAGAAACAGAAAAAACGCATTTGTTGTCGCATACTTTTAGGCGCAACACAAATTTCAGCAAATTTGTGGGGCGCGATGATATAGTATCCACATTTCTAGCAATGAGTATGCGGGGGCTGCCTACTCTTGACACAAAATCTCAAAGGTAAACACTTCTATATACTATAACATTTTTAGATAGATAGCCTATTTGAACTGCGCTTCAAAGACTTTAAGTACATTGAATAATTATTGATTAAAGCATATTATTATTGCTTCAGAAGAAAGCGTGAAATTATTTGTAGTTTAATTTTTTCTATTTTTATACAATTTTCATATTTGGCTGGCACTTGTTCTTTTCTTTGAACAAAACTAATGGCAATTGTATGTAAATTAAAGCACGCAAAACCAACGATCTAGAGCCAGAAAAACTCATACAACCAATGCATGTTAAGTGGAATATACTTTATCAATTAAACTTTAGCAGCTATTAAAATATAAATAATATATTGGCATGTAAATAATATATATATATATAAATTCTAAAAATGTTTAAATTAGTTATTTTTTTATAATTGTAAAAAATTTATTTATTATAAAATATAAAAATATAAACCGTTTTTTTCAGAAGGAAACTGCTTTACTTTCTCTTACTACTACACTGCTTAAATGCCAAAGTAGATGATACTTAAACAATTAATAGAAACAACAAATATCTGGTACGTGTTTTTTCATTGTATTTGATATATTTTATGTATTTTTTTATAGTTTTTACAATTACATATTTAGTTTTCTTACAGTTTTAAGTTTCCCTCCTACGCCCACATCAGATATCTTGCGATTTTCTATTGCCATTTTATTGTATTTACAAACTTTTTCATTTTTTTTTTAAATACATTTTTACTAAAACTTTAAACATTTGCCATTTTCAATTCTTTAAGGGTTAATACAACTTTCATAATATGTATTTGCCCAAATATAGTCAGATTATTAAATATCCTGCACACGCATTCACTATGCAATAATAATTTGTCTGATCATAATTTATTTATGTGTTGTATGTGTGAGTATGTTGGCAACGTCTACAGCTGATTTTGACAGGCACTTTAACGCTCGCCAAAAGTCTTGAAGAGCCTTTAACCCTGCTGCTCCTGGATACTATGCTGCCCCCTCTGGCCTTGTGGCAGCAACCCTTTCTCGCCAGTTGATTTTATTCAACTGCAACACGTATTTGAGTGCAACGCGTTTGGTCTTTGGACATTTCACATAGCTCACGCCTACGAAAAAACGTGCAAGATTTCAAGAAATTTTTTATTTGTTGTGTGTGTGTGTGTGTGTGTGTGTGTGCTCGTGTATGTGTGCAATGCCCAAACCACAGCATTTGAACCCTTTCAGGCTATAGCCGGGCAAAAGCCATTGACACTGGGAGCAACACGCGCTTTTGTGCGAAAATATGCAATTGAAATGTTAAATAAATAAAGGCGTAAATACTTGAGGGGCAACAGCAGCGACAAGGCAGAACATTCAAATGCTGTTGTGTTGGACGTTATGGATATACACACAAGTAAATATACTACAAAAAAAAATACCAAGAAATAGTAACTAAGTTTGGGTGGACGACACTTCGATACCCTAGAAGGGCAAAACGGATTCAAATTCAATTGAAATAGATTTACTTTAAGTAATTTAAAACAGACAAGTTAGAATTGAACTCATTAATTAGTTATGCTTATTATTTATGTACAAACTCAATAATTGGCATATCATGACAGATACATGATATATAAAGACGATAAAGTTAGTTTTCACATATGTTTTTACTGCCGGAAAAAAAAGCTTCAGTACCAAATTTCATAAAGAAAGCCCAGGAGAGAATCAATATTCCAAAGGCCACGATCTTAGTTCTGATACAATGACGTTAGTTTCGATAAGTGCAATTTTCATCAATACAACCCTGCGGAGAACCCAGTTAACATGGTTTAAAGTGGGATACCAACTTATTTACGATACGATTAGGTTAGGCAAAAAGACGCATTAGTACCAAATTTCATCAAGATAGCCCTGTTGAGAACTGAGTTCACACAGGTTAAAATTGCATACGATAATATTCATTAATACGATTGGATTGGTTTCAATACGTGTTTCTACTCCAGTAAATAGAAGCATAAGCACCACATTTCACCAAAATAGCCTTGCACATTGGCTAAAACGAGCTGAAAACTTGGTTATGATCAGCTCAGTTCTACTTTCTGATAAAAAATATATTTGAAGGATTTAGAGACCATTTCTCTTCGAGCGTTACACAATTCTTGGCAAATTTAGAATACCCCAGTTCAGGAATTATAAAAATAGAAAAGCGAACCGTTATGCATTCCATAACTTTGGAATCGTCGTCAGACGTTGACGTTGAATGAATGAATGAAAATATGCAAGCAACGTGATTCTCAGTGACGCGACTGCGACTGCGACAGCGACGCCATATTGCTTTTGGATGGTGTGGGCTGGTGGTTTTTTCTCCGTCAGGGGGCGCCATTGGGAAACGTAACCGTTAGCAATGGCATTGCCAGTATGGTTACCGTTACCGTTACCGCTACCCCCTTTTTCTTCCAGCTAGCTGCATGGCCGTGAAGAGGAACGGGAACAATATTCGCATTTGCTCGTTGGTATTTTCTGTCGAGTTCAGCGTAAATTCATTCATTTCCACTTGAATTTACAATTATGCGAAACTGTTGTTGAATGGGTTTTGACTTGCTCGGAGGTTTTTGGATTGGGTTCTCACAGTTTGCGATTTGGAGATTGGGTGTTTTTGTTGTTTCGTAGCTGTTGCTGGTTACGTTTATGCATATTTCCTGTATTTGCCATTGGCAGCATCAGCAGCAGCAACAACTTCACTATTTAGCTTTTAATTAACTATGGACCCAGATGTGAGTAGCTGAGACTGTAACTGGAGACTGCCAGAGCTGGCCCACAAACTCGTAGCGCTCGTTGCCAATTGTCAACAGCAGCTGCTAAAAGTTTGCTGCCAAGCGTTGCCAAGGTGCGTGGCTGTGTATGGAATTCCGTATGATGCGATTTATTTACTGAACGCTTATGGAATGTAATTAACTTTATGAGGTGTGCATGCAAAAGCTGTCAAGGGCGATTTAATGTTTGTGTATAAGCAACTACATTTATGCTGGGTAGAACTTTGTTCTATCATGAATTACACTTTAGATTCCGATTCGTCCAGAAAGAGTGAGGCAAAGATACTTGTTTCAGCATACAGTTACTTAGCTAGTCAATTGGTATAAACTTTGAACAACTATCAGCTATTAAACATAGTTTTTCCAGCTAAATGAATGCATAGACTATATAATACTACAGATGTTTTCCTTACAAAAAAGGACTGTAATTATTTTATGGTTAAGACGAAGTAGACAATTATGTAATTATCGAAATTAGAGATTTGGAATTCGCAAACAAACATTCTCAAGTAGACCGACAATTAGTATACCCTAAGTTGGGCAATCGATAATTGTCTAATGTGACCAAATACAGACCAATTCTGACGGCTCAGCCAGTAGAGCGGATACCTTAAGTTATTTGTATACCCTGAGCCCATTAAAAATTGATATAATGGTATATTGTATTTGTGCAAAATCGAAATGTATGTAACAGGCAGAAGGAAGCATCTCCGACCCCATAAAGTATATATATTCTTGATCAGCACCAATAGCCGAATCGATCTAGCCATGTCCGTCTGTCTGTCTGTCCGTCTGTCCGTCTGTCCGTCTGTCCGTATGGTTGAATGCAAGGATCTCAGAACCTATAAGAGCTAGAGACTTGATTTAGATGTAGGTGCTCCTAGTGCGCGCCAAGATCGAGTTTGTTTCAGATAATCGATAACTTACTCCGTTTTCAAGCAATCGATAAAAATCGATATCGATATCCTGTTTTTTTAGGCAATTTTGGTAAATAACAGGAGCTAGAGTCACCAAAGTTGACATATAGCTTCTAACATAGAATATATATATGCATTTGATGTTGGAAGAAGAGGGTTCAGGGTATTTCCTAGTCGAGAGCTCTTACTTGTTTAACATTTATATTGTACGGAAGAATTAAAGCTTTTGAAATGTTCGACATAAGACAAAAATAAAAACTGATAGATCGACAATCGGTATGGGAATATGTGTCTGCCATATATCTGACCGCCCGAAAATCGGCACGGAGACGTCTGTCGCATCAAGTCTGCCATGTAGGTTTATCAATAATCTGGGGCAAAGAGTTGTCAACTGTAACCAACTACCGATTGTTATCTGCTCAGCCTATCGGGCCGTGCTCTTTATTTGACAAGTTCTGTTGACTTTTTTAGAGGACTTAAGACATATTTTGCGCAGAAGTTCTAACAATTGGAATATGCAAAAATAAAATGCTCTAAGCTACGTCTATTAAGAAACTTGCCAGCTTAGACAATCCAAACAGCAGCTCTTAAACCCATTCGCAACACAATTTGAATACATTTCTACGCCTTATATAGAATAATACTTTCAGGAGGAGCTTCCCGCGGCCACTACTAATCAACCATATGCTCTTATACCATTTTCTTTTTTGTAATAAAAACTTTGTGTGTAAAAAAAGAAAGGGGAGAAGCAAACTTTTCGAATACCACTTCATGAGGGTGGCAAACTTTTTTTTTGTAGGGTTGCCTAACTGCAGGAGCCCTTCAGCTAGTTGCCAATGCAATTCAATGTCATATCCTTGAAAGCTAAAAAACAGCAGCGTACGGATATGAAAAAAAAAACGCCAAACTGAAAGTTTTGTTATTGAAAGTTCATCGATGAATACAGCAGTACACAGTTGGCAAACGAAAACCCAGTAGCAAATCCACTTGCCGGAATACTCGAGCGACTGCAGTTTGTGAGCCTGTTTCCTTGCGGCTGCTTACAGTCCATTTCCTTGTAGCCCGTTTCAACATTTTCAATTTCTTTTGTATATGCAATGGCCACATTGTAAGCAGTTGCTGCTGCTGCGAGCCTGCATCCTGAGCCAGCTCCACTAATTTCCTCGGCCAAGTCCAGACGTTGTCAGCGGCATATCCTGCCAGCCAGAGACTCAGCCAGGCTGTCTGCTTAGCCCAACGTTTGTGTGTGGGCAATGCGTTTGGGAGGCGGGTCCCGTTGTTTGCATTTTTATTTGTATTTCATTTTCAATTGACTGACAGAGTTGTTGCCTGCCCGCCTACCTGGGGGCTACCTAGGCTAAAGTTCAGGTATGCGCTTTGTGTTCTCCAGTCCATTCATCAGAGTTATTTACTTTTTAACGAGTTGATTTCATTCAATTTGTTTGCCCAGGTTTCAGTGGCTATTACAGCCAAACAGCAAAAAAAAAATTAAAGAAAATAGGAAAAGGGTTGCCACCACATTGCAATGCTCTTGAATGTATTCCAGTCATACTTTGGCCACACTTTAAGCTGTTTCTTATACTTCCCCCATTAAAGCTCTTTCATATAAAGAACGGAACGGTAGCGTCGGCAACTTCTCTTATATTCTGGTTTTTGTTTTTCTTGGCCTTTTTATACCCTGCATTCAGAGAAAAGTCGAGAAAGGGTATAAGTGCTTTCAAATATATTTATCAAGGTTAAAAGAAAAGATTTTTATTTAGCAAATGCTCTTCCGCCCGTCTGTCTGTACGAACTCCCTAACTAAAGAAGCCTAGGAAATGCAATTTGGTATGATCATATGCTGGACTCAAATAAAATATAATTCACACTTGGATAGGGTATATACGCTATTAAGAATTTTATTTTAATAAATAATATCTTTTTCTACGGAAAACTTTAATTTATAAATAACACATATTAGATGCGCTTAGAGCTACTTACAGG